TGCAAATGCAGCGCCCCCCTTTCCCCCTTCTCTTTTCCCCTGGCCGGGCAGCCCGGCCGGGCCGCCACTGCGCTGCGGGGCGCGCCGCGCTGAGGGGAGAAGAGTGGAGGGGGGGAGGGGGGAGGCTTAACATATTCCGATATTAATGAGAGGCTTTGTGTGGCGAAACTTTTGCATCCATGAGCTTCATCGTTTTGCACAGCAAACGAGCCCCATGCAGCGCGCGGGCGACGTCTGCGAAATTATTCGTCATATTTGTCAAGACTCTTTAGTTGAAGAAAAAAAAAGTTAGAAAAACGACTTTTTTCCTCATCCCTAATTACACCAAGGGAGTGATTATTATTCGTCGCGTAATCAGCAATGGTCGGCACTGGTTCATGCCTTTGCAATTAACGCTCTTTGTTGCACTGTCGACTCTGTAAAAATTAAGTATGTGTCCCAATGACGTTTCTATTCTTACAAGTAACCAACATTGCGACTGTGTTTCTAAGACATTTTTTTCGTATTCTTTTTAGATACATTTGGCAAGATACAGTACTTTGTATAATTTGCTTCACTGTGTTTCGCTCCCTCGCCGTCCCCTTTGACCTGGCTGACGTTATTAGAGACGAACGGACGTGTCACGTTCGGTGCACTCCCTGTATGGGCTTGGAGAGCAAATGAACGCCAGAGGCCAGCAGTTAATGAGTCGTGGATGACGATCCCGCGAGCGCAGCGGGACTGACTGGTGACGTGGAGAGTAGAGAGTGGCAGAGGGGATTGTGTGGGGAATAATTGTCGAGGTAATTGTGCTCCGCTCACGCATGTTCCCTCACAACTGGTGGAGTGTCATTACACGCGGACCATATGGCAGACAGGGGCAGAGCCTGTCAGTTTGGTTTGTGTAATGCATGCCGCAAAACTTTTCAGTATAGTTCTGATGAGTTAAACACATTTTATCCGCGTTTTTATTTGTTGAGAAATAAAAAGGGGGATAGAATGTAAACATATATGTCAGTGAAAAAAAAAACAACAACGGAGAGACGGGGGTAGAAAGAGCAAAGAGAGGGGACACTATTCTAGACTCCACCCGCAGCCTGGGCCCGGGCAGGATGCAGTGGTATCACTTTGGTGCGTCTTCCCCTTTTCCTCTCCTCCCCTCCCCCGGAAACATTTACTCTCCCCTTACAAAGCCGCAGCGGTCCCGACACTCCGCCCCCACTCTACGCCGCGCACCCCTCCGCCCTGGCATTGCGTACGGCGGGGAGGGTGTGCCTGGGGAGCGGAGCAGCGGCACGCCGCGTGACGCGGTATGGGGACCAACGGCAGGAAGTCGACGCACAGCCCGAGCACAGCCCTAAAATTTCGCCGCAGGGTTCGTAACACTTGCAAAGCGGCCCTGCCTCTCCCCAGGCCTCCCTCCCTCCCTACCCTGTCTTACTTCCTTCCGCCGCAACCCCTCGCTCCGCCCAGCCCGCGGCCACCGCACTCGCTGCCTTCGCTTCATATACCGCGGCCGGGCGGCGCAGGCCTCTGCGACAACATACACGTGAACATTAAAGCAGTTTGTATAAATTGTCGGTGTAATGGGGCGGGCTGCTCAGCTCCGCTCAGCTCCGCTCAGCGGTGGCGCTGGTCCCGCCCCGGGTCCCGTTACCCGCCCCGCGGGAGACGAATGTGCTCCATGATTCAGACGCAAGTGCACCGCACCGGAATATGCGCCGCCGGGCACTCATGGAAACAATCTCCGTCAGATAACGAAATTATGTCCTTCCATAACGAAGTGGTATACATGTATACCAGGTGGCTGATTCAGGCCGCGCACTTTCGTAGTTATACTGCACCGCATGCACGAGTGCGGGCGGCTTTGCCTATGCTCGCTGCCCACGGCTCCTTGAATGTGGCCACGTGCGAGTATGCCACCTGGTACGGCAGGTGGTGATAATTATGTGTTTGCGGCTAAGCAATTTTTGTTTTTGTTTGAGTCGAAAAAGTATTTCTTTGCATGCTTGGCATTAAAATAAGAGCGTATTTTTCAAAAGCAGCTAGCGATTTTGTTTTGTCTTCGGTGCTATAGAAAAACAAATTCAGGTATACATAAAAAAAATATAGCGTCAAAACAAAACAAAATGTTATTCTTTCAAACAATATTCTATTAATCGGGTCTGAAATGACACTTCGTATACTTCTCGCTTGTAGTACTTATCGGGACAATGGGTACACCTAGCTTTGTTGTACTCTGAAGCAAATCTCAAGCCTATACCAATTTATCTGCAATATATAATGTTTATAAAGTGGCAGTTTTTTGGCCTTTTGTGCATAACAAAATTCTAGACTTGTCTTCGATACATTCATGAACCTGATTTAGATGTGGTAGTCGTTATAAACCTTGTTGAAGTTGCAAAGAAGAGAAGAAGAGCAATAATAAGTTAGGTCGAAATGACCATGTCTTCAGCCACATTGAGGCAAAAAAATAGGTAGAAAAGGAAAATATATATACAAATAGAAAAAATTGCACGAGACCAAACAAAACACATCTCCTAAATTAGCTTGAGCGGCTCTCGTGCAGAAGAGGGAAGGGAAAAAAGGAAGAGTGGTATGCGGCAGTCATCTGTTTTCTTTTTCATCCGATTGCGTTGTTTTTCAGTTGTTTTCTGCTCCCTCTCTCGTTCTCGACCTCTATCCCCCTCCCTCTCGCTCCCTCTCTCCAAACGACCATAGAGAAGAAGGGAAGAAGAGAGACGAGCAGATGAGGCTTCTTTGTTTCTCGTCTCTAAACACAGTTATGGAGCACGCACCGCTACCCTGGGCAGGAAAAGAAGGAGGAAAAGGGAAGGGGAGCAGCACCCGCGATACAAAGCATCTCCTCTCATGTTGGGAGAGTGACGTGGCGTGGCGCCCTATTTGAAGCTGCCGTCGGCAGCCAGGGCAAAATAATGTGGTGAGGGCGTTGGGTATGATTGATGCCTGCTCAGCGACACGCCAAGAGGGTAAACATCGCCAAGCCTTTCTGATCACCTCCCCACCGGGAGGGTGCGCCGTGGCAGACGCCCACCCCG